AATCCCAAAGACAACACAATCCAGATTCTCTGTGTAATATTCATCTTTACGTGGCTTATTTTTTATATTAATTTTACTGTCTCTTTAAAGACTTTATTTTTTAAAACTATGTATTTGTTTATATAACTGTATATATCACCTTTTTTTGTCTCTTTCAAGCCTACATATATTTTACACACATTGTAAACTATTACATCTGAATCTGTTTTATTGTGAATCTATTGCCTTAAACTGCAGCAGCTGTGACTGCTGGTTCCGCCCACCTCAGCTTCCCAACATGGCTACGTTTACCACCAGCTCTGGGAGCTATCGTGGGTCTATGCTTTTAGCCAAGCAGCGTGTAGCCCAGAAACCTCTTTTTTTGTTTTGTACTAGCAAAGGCTAAATCTACCATGCAGCTTAATGTGCCACTTGCAGAGGACTCATTCCCGCCATACTGCAGGTCTAGCATGCACACTAGGAATCCACAAGTAGCTCAAACCCGCAGTTGCCGCTCATTTAAGAGAGACAATTAGGAAGCTGTTTTTAGCTCCGTTTTAGAATCTTTTCTCAGGTTTTAGGTGGAAACTCTTGCCCCACGTTGGGCGCCATTTGTTGCTGGAGTTTTCCTGCCTGGCCCACAGTCAGGACAAATCTCTCTCACCTGCTAGTCCCACAGCCGCTCAAACCTGACCAAGTAAACACAGAGACTTATATTGGTTACAAACTATATGGCCGTGGCAGGCTTCTTGCTAACTTTTCTTATAACTTAAATTAATTCATTTCTATAAATCTATACCTTGCCACATGGCTCGTGGCTTACCAGCATCTTCACATGCGGCTTGTCATCATGGCGGCTGGCAGTGTCTCTCTGACTCAGCCTTCCACTTCCCAGCTTTATTCTCCTCCTTGTCCCGCCTACGCTTCCTGCCTAGCCAATGGCCAATCAGTGTTTTATTTATTGACTAATCAGCAACACATTTGCCATACAGAACATCCCACAGCACATTACAATCCTAAACATATATGCAATAAACTCTGGTACATCCACTTTCATTAAAAAGTGTACTGCTGGAATTAAAGACACAGATTAACAGAGATTAACTCCAACTCAAAAAAATAGGAGGGAATTTCAATACCCTACTTTCTCCAATAGGTCATCTGGATAGAAACTAAACAGAGAAACATCAGAACTAAATGACATCATATATCAAACGGTTCATTTTACCTCTGTAGACATCAGGCACTAATGTGGTGCAATAAATACATGCAGACAAAACACCCATACACATAAAATAATAAATAAATCTAAAAAACCCTTTGAAGAAATAATTAAACAAAAATTCCTGGAACTAAGAGAAAGGAAAACAACATAAGCATATAACTTTAAGCTTCTACATTAAGAAATCAGGTGGAGCGGGGGACCACAAATAAATGACTTAATGATGCAACTCAAGAACTTAGAAAACCAAGAACAAACCGAGCCCAAATAGAGTAGATGGCAAGAAATAATAAAAAAAATTCAGAGAAGAAATTAACAAAAGCAAAGGAAACAGTGTTAAGCATCAACCAATCTAAGAGCTCATTCTTTGAAAAGATAATCACGATCAACAGACTGTTAGCACAATTAAAGAAGAGGAGACCCAGATTAACAGAATCAGAGATGAGCAGAGAAATCTTACTACAGATAACAAAAGAAATCCAGAACAATGTAAGGAAATACTTTATAAACCTCTACTCTATTAAGTTACAAAACTAGAATAAATAGATGGATTCTAGATTCACCAAAACCACTAAAGTTAAACCAAGAAGAGTTCAACAACTGAAACATCACTTTATTACAAACAAGCAGACTGAAATGGTAATAAAAAGCTTTCACATTAAAGAAAAAAGTCCATACAGGCCTAGTTTGACTCATAGCAGCATTCTATTCAACTTTTAATGATCAATAACCAATACTTCTTAAATTCTTCCAAAAATAGAAACAGAAGGTGCACTCTCACACTCCTTCTATGAAGCCAGTATTACTCTAATACCCAAACCAGGTACGGAAAAACATCCCTAATGAACATAAATTCAAAAATCCTCAATAAAATACTTGTTAACCGAATCAAGCAAGTACCAAAAAGATCACACACAGGTTGATTTTATCCTAGGGATGCAGAGACAATTCAACACATGTAAGTAAATAAATGTAATAAGTCATATAAATGGACTTAAAGAAAAAAATCACACTTGATAAAGAAAGGGGCTTTGAAAATCACCATCCTACCAAAAAGCAATCTAGAGAGTCAGTGTAAACCCAATCAAAATCCCCATGACATTCTTTACAGAAATAGGAAAAAACCCTAAAATTCATATGGAACCACAAAAGATCCCAGATAGTTAAAGCAATCCTGAGGAAATAGAACAATGTTGGAGGTATTCAAATTACAAATTTCAAGTTAAAACTATAGCAAAAAAAAAAAAAAGAAAGAAAAAATATGGTCTTTGCACAAAAATAGACATGTAGATCAATGGAAAAAAAAAGTAGGGGGCACAAACAGAGCTACAACCATCTGATATTTGAGGAAGATGCTCAAAATCTACATTATTGAAAGACAGTATCTTCAACAAGTGCCGCTGGGAAAACTGAATGTACACATGTAGAAGAATGGAATTAGACCCATATCTATTACCTTGCACAAAAAGCAACCTCAAATGGGTCAAAGACCTGTATGTGAGATATGAAATGCTCCAACTGCTAGAAGAAAATGTAGATAACACCCTACATGATATAGGTGTAGGAAAAAAATCTTCATAAATAGGACTTTGTTCACTCAGGAATTAAAGCCATCAATTGACAACTGGGAACTCAAAACTGTACAGCAAAGGAAACAGTCAACCCAGTGAAAAGGAATCCCACAGAGTGGGAGACAATCTGTCAGCTATAGCCTTTTGGAAGATCAATATCCAGAATATTCAAAGAACTTGGAAATCAAGAAAACAAATTACCCAACTGAAAATGGTCTATGGATCTGAACAGAGAGTTATCAAAAATAAAAATGGCTAAGAAATATTTTTTAAAGTGTTCACTATCCCTAACAATCACAAATATGCAAATTAAAACTTCTCTGAGATTTCATCTTACCCCAGTCACAATGAATGAATGGCTAAGTTCAAGAAAACAATTGACCCCAAATGCTGGCAAGGATGCAGGGAAAGGAACCCTTCTCATTCACTGTTGTTGGGATTGAAAACTGGGGCGGCCACCATGGAAGTAAATATGGAGAATTCTTAAATACTAAAAGTACATCTACCATAGGACCCAGCTATGACCACTCCTTGGTATACACCCACAGGACTCAATATTCTACTCTAGAGATACTTTCTCAACCATGTCCATTGCTGCTTTAGTCACAATAGCTAGAAAGTGGTAACAACCTAAATGTTCTTCAATTGGTGAATGGATAGTAAAAAATGTGGTACACATGTACACAATAACATTCTGTTCAGCTATAAAGAAAAATGAAATTTACAGATAAATAAATGGAACTGGAAACTATTGTGTGGGGGTAACCTGGACACAGAAAGACGCTATATAATTCTCTCCTATTTGTGGATCCTGGCTCTGAATCTTTAGATCTGAGTATATAACCTGAAGTATTGGAAGAAGCCAGGAAAGTGGAAAAGCACTATGGGAGAACAGTGGGGAAGGAGTTCTAGAGAGGGGAACAGTAGGTGTTTTAGTTAGGGTTTCTATTGCTGCTGTGAAACACCATGACCAAAAGGTAAGTTGAGCAGGAAAGGGTTTATTCTGCTCACACTTCCACATTGCTGTTCACTACTGAAGGAAAGAAGTCAGGACAGGAACTCAAACAGGGCAGGATCCTGGAGGCAGGAGCTGATGCAGAGGCCATGGAGGGGTGCTGCTTACTGGCTTGCTTCACATGGTTTGCTCAGCCCGCTTTCTTATAGAAACCAGGACCACTAGGCCAGGGATGGCACCACCATGGGATGGGACCTTCCCCACTGATCACTAATTGAGAAAGTACCTTACAGCGGGATCTCATGGAGGCATTTTGTCAACTAAGGCTCCTTCCTCTCTGATGATTCTAGTTAATGTCTAGTCAAGTTGACACACAAAATTAGCCTGTACAGTAGGACAGGTGTAATGGGGAAAATGGGGAGGAGGATGAAGACTTTTATGTGGGGAAAGGGATGGAGAGATAGATGACTCTAAGAATGTTTTAAAAAGCCATAGGGCAACATATTTTATAAGCTTACCTAAATATATATAATAAATATAGATTAGATATAGATATATGTGTGTATATATGTGCATGTATACATGTATCCATCCTTTTTAGTTGAGTTCTATACCACAGGGGATGATGATAATTCCCCTAAGAACCATGCATGATCACAATAGGACTTACACACATATGCAGTATGTATAGGGCCTGTATAGGTTCAAGCCAGACGGGGTCCCAGATCTGAAAGGGGGAAGTGGATGTGGGCTCCATTCTCTAACTAAGATGCTATCTGTAATTGACACCTGCTTGCAAAGAATAAATGAGTTTTCTCCAATGGAGTCTCACTGAGTATACTTACCACAGTTCAGGGTAGGCCCCATGCCTAGCAGTAGATGGCCAACATAAACGAACTCAATGGTGTTTTTGTAGGCTCTTTGTCTCATTTTGCTGTTGGGGAACTTCTTAACAGTCTTTTGCATGCATATTGTGGTTTCTGATTTTGTACGTGTGGGGTGTGTGTGTGTGTGTGTGTGTGTGTGTGTGTGTGTGTGTATGTGTATGTGTAGAGACAGAGAGAGAGAGAGGTTCTTTTTTCATTTGTTTGTTTTCCTTTTTGTTTTTTTTAAAGTGATAAAGAAAGGAGGTGGAGTTGGGAACAATCTGGTAGGAGTTGGAGGCGGGGAAGTATGATCAGAAAATATATTTTATGAAAAAAGTTTCTTTTCAATAAAAAAGAAAAAAAATGGCTTATGATAAAAATAATTAAGCAGTGCTAAATTCTCTTACCTGCTGAACTAAACTCAGAAAATATATCTTTAGTTGTTTGAGGCTTCCCGTCTGGATCGATGTCCATGATAGTGCGCCACAACTCAGAGAATCTGGTTCGCTTCTCTTTGGGCATGTATATTCCATGCCACAGTGCTTTTAGCATATAGTCAATATAGATCAAAATTTGTCCAATTCTGGTATCATAATAAGCTGGAGGTAGTTGACAAGAAGAACTCTGATCATAATTTGCTTCTAAACTGATTGAAGGGATTTGATTTAAGCAATAAATTCCAACAGCCAACTCCCTTAAGATCTGATGGACTTCCCTATAGTCTAAGTGGGCGGTGGGGTCCACAGGCGTCAACAGGATGGCGGTAGAGAAGCCTACATTATTTATTTGACTCATGAGTCCACATGGGATGTCTAGTTGAGAGCGAACATCCTCCTTGGCAGACAGCCAGCTGACTAGTGCTGTTGTTAGTAATTCTTGCACTTCACTGCGATCATATTTTTCAAAGAAAGCAGAAGCATTTCTTTGCACTGCTAAATTTTCCAGGTAGGTTTCTTCATCTTGAACTTGATCAATTCTAACTATTCCTTTTTTGGATAGTCTTAACATTTCTACTTAAATCCAGTATATACTTCTTGAAGTTCCTGCAATGAGGGAAAAGACAAGCAATAATATTTGTCAGGGCAACAAAGCTGGATTTTTCTAGAATAAATATGTACCCTTCATTTTTCTAAAGTTAATATTTTCATGGTCAGTCTGTATCCTTTTTAACTTCCAATTAATTGCATCACAAGAAACTTAAATTTGAATTAAAATACTTAAGGTTGTAAAATCTTTAACATTAATCATGTTAAATGATTTGTAAAGCTCTGCTTCTCAGAGCCAAAAGTTACTGAGAAATTCTTGGTGCTACACAACACTCTCCAATAACTGACCACACAGATTGTGGTCTCAAGATTATATATAACATCTTAGTTTGTGTAAGTACATTCTACAACGTGTATACAACAATGAAATAGCTTGACACACTTCCCATCTGTCTGAGTTAAGTTTCTATCGCTGTGATAAACACCATGACCAGAGGAACTTGGGGAGGAAGGGTTAATTTGGTTTCCAGGTCATGGCCCGTCCTCAGTGGGGAGCCCAGGCAAGAGCGGAGGCAGAGACCATAGAGGAACAACTGGTCCCGACTTGCTCCTCCAAGCTTTCTCACTTTGCTATTTTACAAGCTTTCATGACCACTCACAGGGGGCTGCGCCCTTCCACATCGATCATCAATCAAAAAAATGTCCCTGCTGGGCATTGGGAGGCAGAAGCAGGTGGATCTCTGTGAGTTCGAGGCCAGCCTGGTCTACAGATCAAGTTCCAGGACAGCTACAGCTATGCAAGAGAAGAGAAACCGGCTCAAAAAACAAAGAAAAAAATGTCCCATAGACTTGTCTACAGAGCAGTGCGATGGAAACATTGGCCTTGGTTGAGGTTTCTTTTTCCTAAATGACCTTAACTTCTGTCACTTGGCAAAAAACTAACCAGAACTTGACCATTAAATGGCATGTGCTGTATTTCAGAAGAGCGTTAAGTTCGTATATGAGAAGCCACTGCTATGTACTTTATTTTTCATTGTATACTTTTAACTGCCTCACTTCCCTTAACCACTCTTCTCCTGCATACTGTTCTTCCCTTCTTCTCCACCCTTAGAAGCTCCTGAGACCTGCGTGCCCTCCCACTTTGTGGGGTTTCAGCCTAGGTCCCCACACGTCTGCCGAGCTGTTCCTCCTGCCTGCTCTTTAGTTTCCGAGCGGCCGAACACCTGCTTTCACAATAATAACTATTACTTTTTTCTGAGCATCTACTATGTGGGACACGTAAAACACAGTATTTTCACTTAATGTCATCAGCCTCCATTACACAGTGATTTTCAAAATTTAGCCTACATCAAAATCACCTGGACCTTCTTAAAATACCTGTTTCTGGATCACACAGACTTGGGGCAGAGAATTTGCATTTTGTAGTCAATGCTGATACTGCGTACAGAATCCGGCTCTGCAGCGCATTTTTTTCTCCTACGTCATAGGTGCCGACACGTAAACAAAGGATTACATGGGGGCTCACAGTTTTCAGAAACAGAACCCCGCTCCAAGACTTGTGATCATAATCAGCATCTGTCAAGGAGATGGGAAGGGACAAGAAAAAGGGAGAGGCCTACTTGGAAATAATTTTCTTGTTTACTTGGAAATAATTCTCTTGTTTAGGAGTCGCTTCCAGGATGGTCGCTAAGATACTCCCTGGAGCCATTGCTTGGGATGGCTTCTCGATGGTTCTGAATCGCCCCACCATAAGCTCCAGAGCGCGAGCGGGTCAGGGAAGCTGGGAGGGCCTTCCCTGTGCGGAGGGCCAAAGTTGGTGAGAACTGGGAGGGCCCTGAGCTGTGCAAAGCTGTCCTAGGGCTTTGCCATGTGCAGGCTGTGTCTCAGGCAGATGAGCGTGGGCTGGCGCGCTCTCTGTACATTCTGCCCCAAGGCCACGACCTCGCGGTTGATCTCATGAGGACAAATTCTCTAACCTCTCTCTAGATCTCAGCCTAGCGTCATGTTCTGTCACTGCTACTGCGCATCTGCTAATTGCAAAGAAAACAGAAACCCTGGAGCGGTACAAGCCAACATGACAGGCTCCAGTGGTCCTGGTCTGGAATCCTATTGTGAAACAAATGTTTACTGAACACCAGTTATGAGCCAGGCACCATGCCAAAGACTGGAGACCACAGATACAGGGAAAAGAGCAAAACCCCAAGGGGCTTAGAAACACAAAAGTGCTTGCCAATGTGGTGTAAGATGTTGACAGCACCCAAAAGAACGTTCATCCAGATGCCTGTGGAGTGACTTTTAAAATGAAGTCTGGGAAATTAAAAAGTTATCTGTGCAAATAATTGCTGAAGTTGCTCTTCTGGGACAGGGATGCTGCTGTTGAAAGTTGGAGAAAACAAACCATTGCACTGACATCAAGGGATGTGGGCACAAAATGAGTATGTAAAACTGGTTGAAGGACAGTGTGGGATTTTGAGTTTATCCCAAATAATCGGGCTAAGGTGTTAACGATGCAGGTCAGGAGAAGGCTAGGGTGATGATAGTGGTGATGAGGATGGAGTGCTGTGGAATTTCAGGTGGGCTATTGGTAACAGATTACAGGGTTCCAATGTGTTGAAATGACCCTTCACTTCCTATCAGGGGTTACAGGGTGTCAAAACAAGATTCTAAGTTCAGCTGTGGACATAACATAAAGTGCCAGAGAAACAAAGAAATGTCAGATAGGTCTTATGTATCAGAAGATTAAAAAAGGGCAGCTGGGGTGAGACATATAAATTAATTTAAGCTAAAAGTAACTGAAGCCAGAGGAGTGGTTGAATCACCAAGACAGGGCATACTGCTGACATACAGGACAGAAACCTATGAAATTTAACATCTGAAGGTCAGCTGGAGAAGGCAACTAGAGCTATATAATGGGACTCTGTCTCAAAAAGAGAGAGGAGGGGAGAGGGAGGAGGAGTGGAGGGGAGCGAGACACACACAGAAGGGAGTTGGAGTGGGGAGGAGGGAGAGAGAACAGTTATGAAGGTTAGGGTCAGCAGAATACAATGAAGAGATGGCCATGAAGACGAGAGGAAAGCCACAACTGGTCAGAAGCCAAAGGATCTACATCATGAATTAAGTGACGGGTACGGCCAACGTTGTCAGTTGTAGCAGTCAGGTCAGGGGAAGTTTAACTCCTCTCAATCGTACACTGAGCAAGGAGGCTCTTAGTGGCGAGGCAGAACTCTTTTACACGAAACTGCATTTACCAGGGAATAAATTCAGGGCATAGGGAAGTCTTTGTCAAGCTAGTCTGTAAGTCTCCTAACAATTCTGTACTAATAGAAAGATCAGAAAGGCAGATTCCAAACAGTAAAGAGTGAGGGTGATACTGAGATGTGGTGGGATCACAATGGACAGTTAATGAGGGAGGCAAGAGCTGGTCACAGACCGCTATCAGTTTGATACACAATATTATGAGCGACATGGAAAACAGACTTTTGATTGGTAGAGGACTGTTTCTGTTTGTAGTGGCAAGAAAGCAATGGAGTAACTACAGGTGAGGTGGAAGTCATGATGCAAACATGCACCAGGATACGACTCCAAGGAAACCAACTCTATGACACCTTTGCTCTTGGACATCCACTCAACAGAAATCAGAAATAAATGTTTGATGACTTCTGTGCTGGGCAGGGGCAGGTGTTGGGCTAATTAACTGATCTGTGAACAGCTAAGATGGGACAAGACAATTTGAAGGACCAGAGAATATTTTAAGTATTCTTAGAAATTCCTCAAGTAGGAAAATGAGTTATGACAAGTGTATTAAGTCTCACTTAGGAACATGAATCTCAATTATTTAGCTTCTCAAAATTTTAGTTCTGGAATCTGTCAAACCTAAGTCGAGGTTCCTAAAGACAATAGCAAATTGAGTTATTTGTGGCTATGGCTCTCATGAAGACTGGGGGAACAACTGTGTTTTACACACTGACACCAGGTTTGTTTTCTTCCTTTTCCTATACATCTCTGAACATCACCTGAGTATTCTACAAAGTAACTCAATTTTGACACTATCTTCCAGGAGTTGGCATCAGGCCCCAGGTTTAAGAGCTCAGTCTTACAAGACTGGCACTTCAAATGCTAAGTGCAAGTTAGGCCTCTGCTCCTTCTCTCCAGCCATTTATGAACTGGACTCTCACAACCGGGCCCACCCTTCAGTGTTAATAGTCTGCTTATAGAACTCAGGAGTTCACACTCAGAATAGAACATGGAAACAGTCAGATGGAAAAGATGCACAGGACAAGGTGCTGGGGTGGACGGCAGCCTCCCATGCTCTCTGTAATCTCATCCTAAAAGCCCCTTCATGCATTTGAAAACTGGAACTCATCACATCTTTAAAGAGCTTGACTGGAGTTTCATCTCCAGCCTGTTTCACTCCACTTCTCAGGTGAAACTTCCCCAAAGGCCAGTTGTAAGCCTGTACCTATTTGGGCTTTCTAGTAACAACCTCAGGGCTGAGGCCATCTAAGGAACCCTGCCTAACTTACCTTATGAACTTGATCAAAAGGAGCCTTGATGGGAAAAGTAAAAATTCACACACGAACTGTGAAACCACCACATCCCACAATGGTAACGCAGCCGCTGTTTAATTTTTAGTGACTGTCATACAGTGTTATTACATGGTAGAATCATTATGTCATCTTCTTGAGAGGTTTTCTAAGGTAGGATTTGGAGCCTTCCACATTTATCAGATGCCTTCTCGTTAATTTTCTCCAGTTTTGCAATTCTAGATCCAAACTGCATGGCTCGCTTCGGCAGAAGGGCAGAGGCTGTGAGACCAAGTTCAACAGCTGCAAGGCGTAGAATGAGCTTCTCACCAACCCCACGGGGCAAAGTCAGGTCTACCTTTTCCCAAATCGGCAGGGAATTTAGGAAAGACACAACATTCTCATCCAGGAAAGGAAACCTAAAATTCGTTAAAAAAAACTGATAGTGACTACTATTAAAAAATAGTCTATTAGTGATTATTCACACAATTTAATGGCTAAAATTTAATCACATTAAAAAGGTATTTCAAAATGTGGCAATCATATGCATTACAAAAATATTCTAAAAATCTAAATAAATTAGTTGTCTATAATATCAAGAACTAATTTCAAGTTGTTTCAGAGTATTTTTGAGGATGTTCCCAGTACACAGCATGTGGTGAATAATTTATGTCTGATTTGAGCATGTCTACAGAAACTGAACTTTAGGGGCATGAAGTCAGTGTAAAAGGTTCCAAAATTCTGGACTTGTAACACTGTATCAAAATTGTAGTATATAATCCCAACAAGAATTACTCAGTCACCTTAGACCATGAGTGCAAAGTTGCTTACTCCTGCTCCCTGGCCCTTCAGCTTCGCTCTGGATGGTCATACACTGAGACAGTGTATCAGTGTTCCTGTTTTGCTTGGGACCAATCTCTAAAGACAAGGAATGTAAAGCCTCCTTTTGTATTTCCACTAAAAAGCATTCAAATAGTGAGTTACCTAGCTTCCTTTCCATGGTCACCAATAACTCTGTCATCACGACCAAGGTTTCTGGAAGAAATGCGACCCAGTTCCATTGCTATTTCCTCATTCAATCCTTCTAGACCAAGAGACTGAAAGCGGACACGATGACGGGAGTAACCTGCCAGCTGCTCATCCGCACCGATTCCCGTGAGAATCACCTACAGAGACATGACAAAAAGGATCAAGAAAGTGAGTCCTATTTTTCTTATAAAGCCTAAAACGTTATAGTCTTAACATTTCAGGGAAAAATCCACAAGTCAGAAAATAGTAAAAAAAAAAAAAAAAAAGTTCAATTTTAAAGAAGTAATATACACTGTATTATAAAGTATAACTAAAATAAGAGTAGATTCTTACAACCTTAAATGTTGAAAGGTTCAAGAGTCAACATTAGGTCTTAGAAATTCCTCTGAGCAAAAATCCCAGTGCATACCTTTGCACAGCTCTTGTAAGCTCTCACAGCATCCTGAGTCACTAACCAACCGATTCCTCTAGAAGCAAACCAGACAGCACAGCCAATGCTATCATCCAGAACTGTTTCCAAGGGATGAACTAAGTGACATATTCGAGCTCTTCTTAGCTTTTGTAGTTCTTCAAGAGGTACATTAATTTCAACAAAATTCCAAGTTCGACAAGGGTTGACAGACTGTAGTTCCTTTAGTCCTGCTTTTCCTGTGACTCGGTCTGGCACCTCGGTTTCATCAGGACCCTTGGCCACTGAAGCACCCTGAGAGGACTCTTCAGAAGGGATCTCATGATGGTTTTGCTGTTTTCTTCCTACAGTAGGAACACTTGACCCAGTCTTTTGTTTAGTCACAAAAGCCACATTCAGAAGATCAATTGGCTCATCTAAAGGAATATGACGATCAGCAAGGGCTGCGATCACCATGGAATCAATGCCTCCCGAGAAGAGGATTGCAATGTTTGCTTTGTTATTACAAGTTTTCAAAACATCCTCTGATGCCAGGTTTTCCTCCCTGGCTAAACATAAGACACGTCTCTTGACTGCAACATCCAAGACATCAATAAATTGATGGACTACTTTTCTTGTGTGTTCATCTCTAAGAAATATCTCAAGTGTCTCTCTTGTATGTGGAACACTGGAACTGTTTCTACAATGAGTTTGCAATGAAGCTTGAGGCAGCATCTTATTCAAGGGAGCAATAGGTTTTGAAAGATACAGTTTGTCTTCATTTGCTACCACTGACACAAACGATGGCAATTCTGCTAGAGTCTGAGTTGGGTCATTAACACATTCTTCAATAACATTCTCCTTAGAAATGTATTTCCAAGGATATAATTTTAAAGTCACACATCTCGAAATAGCAGCAGAATTGAGATCGATCTGGAAAATTCCAGATGCTGGAACTTCTTGCCACTGGTCTGTAAGCCCAGATATCTGGGCACCAACTGAAGAGAGGCAGAAAGTCTTGCCCAGATTACTAAAATGCCAAAGCAAGCTACGACGGCCAAAAAAGTCCCTACCAAACCATAAGTAATGGCTAGAGGCTTGATAATATATAAAAGACCAAGGACCTTGGACTTTAGAGAAGAGTGACAAAATATCAGATTCATTCTTACAGGCAGAAAGGCTACTGAACACAACTTGAGTGTCATTGTCTTCTGCTTCAACCTGTACTCCGTTAAAAACTTCTCCATTCCATAAGAACACATTGCCGCTTTCATCTTCCACAGGCTGGGCAGTCAAAATACCTCTCAAATGAAGAACATGACCAGAAAATAAACACTGATAGTTAACAGTAGATTTTAGCAACTGCTTGCTACTATTGGGGCCCCGTCGTCTAAGATTGTCCAGCAAATCCTCTTTTAACTCTTTACTGAAGTGCTCAACAGAGAAGCCTACAGAACAGCAAATGCCACACATGGTTCTGTGAAGTCAGGGCGACTGACTCTTGACTTTGGTTGTTTCTGAGTTTTCTAATGCTTGGTATTCTCTTATTAGTTCATCTAATGTATCTGTAGGAGGGAGGGAGGAAAAATATTGAAGTAAAAGTTCAGAGATGTTTACCTATTAACTCATGGACAAAATAGGCTACTTCTCAAGATTATATGAGTAGATGTACTGTGTAATTGCCAGTAATAATTCAAAATGTTTTAGTGACAAACAATGCTGATACTTGGTAATAGTTTCTTTCCAATGAGTGTTTATTTTGGTCCAAGCATTTGGCTAAGCAATTACATTACAACTTTTAAGTCCAACAAGACCTTGCAGGCTCAAAGTATTCCTCCCAAAAATGAAAAAACTGTATAATGATTTTTCATACTCTGGTCAAGCTCTTAAAAATACATGCCTACCTTCCTTAGTAACTACAGCAAATACACCTTGCAGTTATATTTTTTATTTCATACATTTGTGATATATTTCGATCACACCCACCTCCTATTCCACCCTCCCTATCTCCAGTTCACCAGGAGTCCCATCCCTAAGGAAACTTGGCTCTCCTCCCTCACAGTCATCAACTGCCAACCACAGCTCCTTGGTACTTCAGCTCTCACCCGTCCTCAGAGAAGTTTCTTTCAGCAATGGATGACAGTTAAGACCGAGACCCACAACTGGTGCATGTGTAGACATTACGTGACTCTGGAGTGCTCAGTCCAAAACTAGATATCTATATCATACCTCTTACCCCTAAGGCTTGGGCCATAGTAAAAAAGGGGACAGAAAGACCTAAAAACAAGAGATCGGGGAGGACTGCTGCAAGACAGTGTCTTCCAGACATGATGGGGTTGTTACGAATATAAACTTTTAGCAGCTGCAGCTGCCTGCCTAAGATCAAGCCAGTCACCAGCCCTAGCTGAGGAATCTTTTTAAAACTGTAGAGATCTTTGGAAGGATAACTGGGAACAGATTATTGTAATACGCATGCATGTATTCATTCAGATAGGGTTTAATCAAGGCACCATTATGAATCCCCACAAAAAGCATATAAAAGGTTTTCTCCAGCATTCCATACACAATACTGAAAACAAAACCAAAAAGAAAACCACTCACTTTTGCTTTCAGAAAACATTTTTGTTCGATCTGCAAGAAAGAATATGTTGCTGTTTGGTTGCTGCTTGTATACTTTCTGCAAAAGAAATTTACAATATCAGGACATGACTTGCATAGTGATGCTCAACAGAATCCTATTATCACTTATTCTTGAGCTTCAGGAATATTCAGAACAACAGTTTATCAAATATAAACAGATACAAAGTCACTCAATACTATGCCACCCAGAAACGGCTGTTTGCATAGCATGTGCATCACACCAAAGGCTACCACAGCCACAGGGTTATATTGACTCTTATAAATGAGTAATATGGAAACATTTTCTGATCAATGAAGGTTCTTTACATTACCACGTCGGTACAACACTATAGTTCTTTGCTGCCCTCAAACTTCAGACATTTGATGTAATGCCAATTCTTCACTATTACAAATGCTGACGATAGCCACTGTGATTAAACACCTATATGTTTTCATGGTTGTTTACGCATCAGTTACTCTATAGGAAGCCCCAGGTCAAGTCTCATATAGCATTTATACATTTTGCCAACTTGATCTCCAAAAGTCTTGTATTAATTTATCTTAGCTCCCAATATTTCACAAATGACAGTATCAGAAATGTTGAAAATGTCAGTCATTATATAATCTTTAAAATGCTTGAAAGAGCTCAAAATCATTTCTTCACTTAAGATGTAATTTTTCACAGTAAAACTACACATGAAACAGCAGCTGACTTATGAAAACATCATAAAAAAGTCATTAAATAAGTTAAGTATTTGGAATACTAAAGTTTTCTGTGGAAAAGGAAGTAATTCATTCCTTGTTAAAATGTAATAGGGAAAGAAGTTTTCCAACACTGAGATGTATTGACATATGCAGAAAAACAAACTAGGACACTTTAGTTTTACAATTAATATGATAGAATTTTGTAATTTTAGCATAAATAATTCCTAATTTTTTTTTTTTTTTTTTTTTTTTTTTTTGGTTTTTCGAGACAGGGTTTCTCTGTAGTTTTGCGCCTTTCCTGGAACTCACTTTGTAGACCAGGCTGGCCTGGAACTCACAGAGATACTCCTGCCTCTGCCTCCTGAGTGCTGGGATTAAAGGCGTGCGCCACCACCGCCCGACAATAATTCCTAATTTTAATATACTGTATACTATTCCAGATTCCTACAGTAACTTACCCGATTCTTCTTCAGGTTAGAAAGTTCATCCACAAGAATTTTTTGTTCTTTAATCTATTAAAACAAAGAAAAACCTAAAGTAGAAGTCTTCCAAGTATGTTTAGTGAGGACATTCTAGGTAACAGGACTGGGGGCTGTCACACAGCACTTGTCACATTGGACACCGTACAGATGCAACGGCACCCAGCTGGGGTCTGTGGGGAAAACAGCTGGCTGGGGAAGGAAAAGCGGACTTAAGACTTGCCAGGTGCCAGTTACCACATGGCTTATACCTTTAACCAAAGTGAGACACTGTCTACCAAAATTAATAGCAGTCCTTTAATCAGTTTTATAAAGTCTTGCTGCAGACTAAAAAAAGAAAGGAGAAATAAAATGAATGTGGGTTTCTATCCTTTCCCAACAACCAGTGCTTCTCATGATGTATGCACTAGATGACAGCCAGACACTCAGATAAGACACATGGTACTGACTGACCCACCTGAGGAGATAAAACATCACCTTCCTCCTTTACATTATTCTACTTTGCATGGTAAAGACTGCACACTGCTGGATCATTAAGCTAGGCTTGTTTGTGATCATCGGGTGAATGCCTAACTAGGCAATAACTTCTTTTAAGTAATCACACACCACCACATGCAGTATTAAGAAGCAGATTATTTTGAAAACTCACACCCACCCTATTGAGTGTACACCCTTATGTCTCCACATTGGCAGAGGTTAGAGTTGTAGTAATGACCTGCAAAGCCACAGGAGTTCATCATCCTTGACACTCTGCTTGTACATACAGTGTTTTAGGAATGACAGGTATACAACTCACTTCAGTTGACATCAAAGAAAACTGTGATACAGTGGGAAGAAGGCCACTAACTGAAGACGTCATTTGGGACAGAAAAACAAATGCAGAATTTAGGACGTGTAACACCTGAAAAGAATATACCCACACCCCTCCACTACACGTTTAAAGATTTTTGTCTGTAATTGGAAGCATGGTGGTGCATCCCTGAAATCTCGACTCCTAGGCAAGAGAATAAGGTCATCCTCCCCTCAAACAACAGTGTGTTTGAGCCTGGCCTGAGCGACATGCAAAACCCTAAACCTACAAGGAAGGAAGGGAGGAAGGAAGGGAGGGAGGGAGGGAGGGAGGGAGGGAGGGAAGGAGAAGGGAGGAAGAAGGGAAGAAGGAAGGGAGGGAGGGAGGGAGGGAGGAAGAAGGGAGGAAGGGAGGAAGGAAGGGAGGGAGAGAGGAGGGAGGGAGGGAGGGAGGGAGGGAGGGAGGGAGGGAAAAGGGAGGAAGAAGGGAGGAAGGAAGGAAGAAGGAAGGGAGGGAGGGAGGGAGGGAGGAAGAAGGGAGGAAGGGAGGAAGAAGGGAGGAAGGGAGGAAGAAGGGAGGGAGGGAGGAAGGGAGGGAGGGAGGAAGAAGGAAGGAAGGAAGGGAGGGAGGGAGGGAGGGAGGAAGGAAGGAACGAAGGAAGGGAGGAAGGAAGGAAGGAAGGAAGGAAGAGAGAAGCAGGCAAAGGTTCATTTGCTAGGGTCCTCCTTAGAGACGACTGGATGAATGCTTTTGGGATCACTCAAAAGTTGACAGCGTATTTGAAGGACACAGGCAGCTGAGGGCACCCTGCGTCGGCACAGGTGGTGAGGGCGGCTGGAAGAACGGGGGCCCGTTTCGAAACTTTCGGGGGAGAAAAGGCACAGCCGCGGGCCCCCGCCCACGTCCCTGGGGCCCCAGCCCCAAGGAAGGCGCTTGCCCCGCGTCCCACCGCACCTTGCTGCTAAGGGCCTCGGTGTTTGCAGCCGTCGACGTGGGGGCGGGCACGGGCGCGGCGCGGTCGGGGGCGGGCGCCGGTGCGGCGCGGTCGGGGGCGGGCACCGGTGCGGCGCGGTCGTCGGCGCGCACCCCACGGCCGGGCATCTCCACGATGCGCCGCACCACGGGGACCCGCGCCGAGGTGGGAACCGCGGCCGGAAAGACCGGACGAGGACCGCGGAACCTCCCCCCCGAACCCCGCCCCTTCCGGCACCCTGACCAATGGAGTTTGCACACTGACGCCTGCGCAGTCGAGGGCGTGCGCGGGGAGGGGTGTGGGCAGAAGAGTGCGCATGCTCGGGATGGTTTGAGGCTGAAGCGCCAGTTGCGGGAGGTTGTGGATTTTCTGTGTCGTTGCCTAGCGGGTCCGATGTAACTAATGATAATAATAGTAGTAGTAATAGTAATAATAATAATAATAATAATAATAATAATAACAGCAATGATACAATCATCATCTTCATCTCACTCTCACATCCAAATAGACTATAGAAGTAAAAATACCAGACAAGGTCGGAAGCTGCAGCGCGGATTTCAGATACACAGTGCTGGCGACAGGGCTGTAGAGACTTGGCAAGGTTTTTGACACTCTGTGGTCAGGGCTGCCAGATGAAATACAGCTTCATATGAACTGAAGATGAATTTTGTGTCATTTGTTCATGCAATATCTCAGTCAAGTCTGGACACAGGCACGAGAGAGTAATGAGTGTTTTTCAGCTGACTGGGGTGTGTACAGAGCAGCACCGGAAGGGGCCTAGCTGCAGGTAAGAGGGCCGCAGAGACTGACCTGTGGGCTGTCGTTTTGTTAAGACATGGATAGTTTGGTAACTAGAAACCTTCAAGGTTACGATCTCTTGTTCTGTAAGTCAGTAATCAGTAGTGTGCCTAACTCTGTGATCTTGGCAGTTCTTTATTTATGCACTTCTTGGGTGCTTAACAGGTTTAACATCTCTGATTCTTTAGTGAGTTGACTAAAACTTTTGACATACCTTTGAAACGCTCAGGTGAACTGGTAATGGAGACAACTCAAATGGCTAAAGGTTTTACACTGTGAGTTAAGCTATGCATGCCTTACTGGTGCTTTGAGTAAATCTCAAGTGGTTATAGAACTAAATGTACTTTAAAATGTTTTCCTTCTCATTGAATTTTTTTCTTTAATTTTTTCTTATTTATTATTATTATTATTATTATTATTATTTTAAGAGATTTTCTATTCATTTTACATACCAACCACAGATGCCCCTCACCTCCCTCCTCCTGCCCCCCAGCCTTCCCCCTCAGCCCCCCCCCCCCCCCATTTCCACCTCCTTCAAGGCAAGGTCTCCCCTGGGGAGTCAGCAGAGCCTGGTACATTCAGTTGAGGCAGGTCCAAGCCCCTCCTCCCTGCACCAAGGTTTCGCCAAGTGTCCCTCATTTAATTTTTTTAAAAAAACTTTTATTTTTGTTTCTGATTTGCACATTCCTGCTAAGCTATATCACACTGGAAGCAATGATGATTGGTAATTTAGTTTTATAGTCTAACCATTCATTTAGTGATAGCTGCAGGATGGGAGATACATGGTCCTTTTTAGAAGAGATTGGTAGATAATCCAGTTTGTTGACCTCTTTGTGCCCATTGGATGAGAGCAGCTCCTAGCTCTCTGGGCTGGTCAGTTACGTGTGTTTCTGTGTTTACCGTCAACCTGAGACTGAAGTTGTTAGAATACACGTTACATCTCACTATGTAAATGTCAAATAATTTCCTACTTTGGAACATACTAATAATCATTATTCCTTTATTTTATTAAATTCATCCTTATATATTTTTTGTACATGTACACTGATCACAGTCACCCCCACCCCCGACCAGCCTGTCTGTCAACTCTGCTCCCCACAGGTCTCTCTCATAGTCAAAGGGGTATTTTGAAGATCAAAAAATTAATATCTGTAAGTGCTCATTGTTAGTCTCAGGCACATACTGAGGTCTATATAAGTGTGCTAAACAGCAAATCAGAAACTATCAGGGTTTTTATAAAACAAAGAATCTGGGCTGTGGATTGCCTGGTTTATTTCATATTAAATATACATCTTCTTTTTCAGTTATTTTCAACAAGGCTGGAGTGTCCATAGCTAATGCTTTAAAAACATATGGAGGCACTTTTGGTTGGTGGGTGTCTTTTAATTGATTCTGATGGGGTAAGGTAAAGTGGGAGCCCCTTGTAAGGTGACAGACTGAATCAGGCTGCTTTTAAGGAGCAGAACTAGCAGTCCAAAGGCAATCTCAGTAAAGAGATAGTGTTGGGCATTGTGTAGGATAGGAGGAGGCAGACAAGGGGTTAAGAAGGTGAAATCAAAGGACAGGAAATACCACAGGCTTAAGAATTTTGTCAGAAGGCAACAGAACTCAAGATACAGAACTGTTGTTTACCAGAGGAACTCTAGGATCTGTGAAATAGACCACTGGGTTCTTATCAGAGGCATTGGGAACCCTCACTCTCAGGGTCCTGAAGGTGCCTCATGTCTTGTCCTTGTTTCCACTCTGCTCTCCTGCCAGGGTAATTTGACAGTTTCATTGTTGGTGATTCTACCTCACAATCTAGTAGTTAGAGTCACTTGTGAATGTTACCCGTGTAAGATAGGTAAGCTGCCTATGTCTGATATACTTAGCATGTCTGACAGCTACACAAAGATCATCGAAATTGGCCTCTTTTAGACTCCGGCTGCACTACTGCCACTGCCTACTTAGCTTCCCAAAGATAAAGGCCATGCTTCCCCTGTTGAGGTCTGCAAGACTGAAGTAGACTCAGTCATCTCTGCAAGTTGGCTCCCGCTACATGGCTGTCAGTAAAAATGGCTATGCGATGTCTACTACCAGAGGAGTTGCAAATACCAGGTAGGCATATGATGCCTTTAGAACATGTAAATGTGTCGTCCTGAGTGAATTAGCAAAGAGAGAGTCTATCTAAATGATACATGATGGTGGCTGTTTCCAATTCAAGTGGTGTTTTTCTTTATAGATAATCCTCATTCTTTATAACTAAGGATTCTTTATTAACTAAGGAGGTTTTGGCCTAGTTCTGATGGTTTACAGTAATTAAGTTTTATCAAATCATTAATCAAAATGTATTTACAACCAAATGCAATACTGCCTTGGGAGCATTAATTTTTTTTTCTTTGTGAAGCAATTCAACTTACCTGTGTTTGCCTGTACGTTCCGATTGGTTTTTAAAAAAATATTGCTATGCAGTAGCTGTTAGGTCAGTCTGTCACCTTACAAGGGGCTCCCACTTTACCTTACCCCATCAGAATTAATTAAAAGCCACCCACCAACCAAAAGTGCCTCTATGTGTTTTTAAAACATTAGCTATGGACACTCTAGCTTTGTTGAAAATAACAAAAGACTCAAATCTCTATATATTCTTTTAGTTATTGGCATAGAAATTGACCCAAGTTAGTGCATTTATAAGACAGATCCAAAGCTCTTAATTCTTACTAGAATTTTGTGACTATCTAGGAAACTTTGTTAGATTGCAGGGGGATGAAAGGTATGGAGAAAGATAAACTACCTTCAAAGAGAAGGAATACACAGGCTTTAAAAAGCAGGAAAATTTTCTAGTCATTCTAAGAATTTTGGTGAAGCTTAAACAGCATGTGAGGTAGCAAGGCATGCAGGCTTAGGGGAGGAGCCTGTGCAGAAGACAGCCCGTGCAGCCTTGGAATCAGGAAGAAACTTGATTAATTGAGGAATAACAAGGCCAATAAATGAAATTAGCTCATCAGCTATGAAAATTGGAGGGAATTATGGCAGAGGACTGTGGTGGTATTGTGTTCCCCAAAATATTGTGTGCCCTAATAAACTTATCTGGGGTCAGAGACAGAACAACCACTAGATACAAAGGCTAGAAAATGGTGGCACTCACACCTTTAATCCTAGCACTCCAGAGGTAGAAATCCCTTTGGATCTCTGTGAGTTCAAGGCCACATTGGAAACAGCCAGGCATGGTGACACACGCCTTTAATCCCAGAAAGCGAGCCTTTAATCCCAGGGAGTGGTGGTAGAAAGCAGAAAGGTATATAAGGCGTGAGGACCAGAAACTAGAAGCATTTGGCTGGTTAAGCATTTGGCTGGTTAAGCTTTTAGGCTTTTGAGCAACAGTTCAGCTGAGACCCATTCGGATGAGGACACAGAAGCTTCCAGTCTGAGGAAACAAGACCAGCTGAGAAGTTGGCCAGGTGAGGTTAGCCGTGGCTTGTTCTGTCTCTCTGATTTTCCAGCATTCAACCCAATAACTGGCCTCAGATTTGATTTTATTAATAAGACTCTTTAAGATTCCTGCTACAGAGGACGGGAGACAGTAGGTAGGTAGAGCCAGAGCCCTGGAGCTTCTGCAGTACTAAGCACTCACTATACACAGCACTAAGGTGTTTCTTATTTCACCACAAGGCATACACAAGTCTGCAGATTCATTTCACACACAGTAGGATTTTCCACCAGAACACTTTCCACATCTAAAGGAAAGGTCAGGGTCTAACTCCAGCAGTGTGCCTTGGCTCAAATAAACTAAGTGAAAAGGTCCAGTATAATGTTAGAGGTATGGATCAGCCAATCAGTAGAACATGGAGTAAATTCACATGGAGTTTACTCACAACTGGTAGTCTCTATCAACTGTAGAAGAGGCAAAGGCCTGATGATTTCCTTCTCCCAACTTGTAGTGAAATCTAAGAAAATTTACCTAGATTGAAGAAGGGGAAAGAGAATGGGGAGAGAAAACGTACAGCCTCCTCACGCTTTTTTCCTTTTGTTTTTAAGGAATGGGGTCTTGCTGTGTAGTTGAGGTTGGCCAGGAACTCACTATATGACCCAGGCTGAACTTATTTAAATGGAGATCTTCCCGCCCTAGCTTCCCAAGTGCTGGAATTACCAGTATGTGGTACCACACCCAGGGAGATAAGGTACTTTTAAAAAGGGGGAACAGGAAAACCAGTTAGTTTTCATATGGGTGTGATGTAGGTCAAATATGAGGTTACTGGTTCCTGTGTCTGCACTAGGCTTATTTCACTTTACGTCACGCCCTGTAGTTCCATCCATGTCACAAATGACAACTTCTCCTCCTCCCCCCTCCTTCTTTTAATTTGGATCGTCTTAATGGTTGAACAGTATTGTGTGGGTTTTGATGTACCATACTTTCTTTATCCATTCATCAGCTAATGGATAAAAATGTTTATTTATGTCTATTAATAAGTAATAAAGAAGTATAAATGTCTCTTCAACATACTCATTTCCATCTCTTTGGATATAGATCCAGTAGTAGCATAGCTGGGATTGTATAAGAGTTCTGCTTTTAACTTTTTGAGGAAACCCCCTACTATTTGCACAATGTCTGCAGTAAATTTTAATTACATTTACACTAGTAGTGTGCAAGGGCTCCATTTTCCCAACAGCCTTTCAATGCTTGTTTTCTTTGCCTTTGATAGTCATTCTTACTGGAGTGAGCTGCGGTCTTTCTGTGGTTGGCTCTTCTGTTGGATTTTTTACCCTTCCTGGCCATTTGCATTTCTTCTTTTGAGAAACATCAACTTAAGTGTATTGTCTATTTTGAAATTGGGTTATCTGGTTTTTTGCCACTGCATTTTTTGAAATCCTTATATGGTCTAGGTGCTAATAACGCTTCATCAGATATATAGTTTGCAAATATTTCCTCCCACTCTGAGGTAGCCTCTTCCGTCTGAGGGTTGTTCCCTTTGCTGTCCAGACGCTTTTGAATGTGATGTTATCTCATTTATGCATTTTTAATTTCCTGTGCATTAGGGGTCTCACAAATCTCCTGTCCATCCCAGTGCCCTGGTATGCTTCCCCGTATTCTTCTGTAGTTTCAGATCTTACATTTAACTCATTAATTTATTTTAAAAAGTAATAAAAGCTGGGGGTCTGGTTTTCTTCTACATGCAGATATCCAGTTTTCCCACTACTACTAATTAAAAATAAAATCCTTTTTCCGTATGTGTTTTTAATATCATGTGTGTGTGTGTGTGTGTGTGTGTGTGTGTGTGTGTGTGTGTGTGTATGTGCCTGTGAATGTGTGTCTGCCTATGGATGTGTATGCATGCCTGAGGATGTGTGTGTGTGTGTGTGTGTGTGTTTCCATATAACTTTTAAGTTAGTATATTTCTACCTTTGGAAAACAATGCCTTTGGTATTTTGATAAGGATTTCATTGGCTCTATAGATTATTTTTATTGTGGACATTTTGACAATATTACTTGAACATAAGTGTATTTCCCTTTTTCCTGCCTTCTTTAATTTCTTTCACCAACATTTTATATTTTTTTATTGTATAGAACTTTCATTTTTGTTAAATTTATTACTAGATAGTTAATGTTTAATACAATGCAGCTATTGTGAATGAGACTGCTTTATTGATTTTCAGATAAATCAATACTAGTATATGACAACGGTGCTGATTTTTGTTTGTTGGCTCTGTGTTCTGCAACTTTGCTGGATTCACTTATGCTGAGAGTTTTTGGTGGGATCTTTGGGGTTTGATACAACATTTTACCACTGTCAGTCTGAGTTCCTCCCTTCCGATCTGAATGCCCCTTATTTCCTTCTCTTACCTAATAGCTCTGGCTAGGACTTCTAGTTCCATGATGAGTAAAAGTGTTGAAAGTGGTATTCTGGTCCTGGACCATATTTCAGAGAAGACAGCTCTTAGGTTTTTTTTCCATAGTTACACATACTTTTAATATGTTGAGGCCCATTCATTCTTTCTATAGCCATTTTTCCAGAGGGTTTTTTTTTTATCATAATGACATTGAATTGTATTCTAATTATTTATTATCTTGTTTTCATGCATGCTATACAAGTAGTTCATCACTGAGCCGTATCTTCAGCTGGGTGTGTTATCAGATGCATTTTCTGCATCTATTGAGATGACCATGTATATAGTTTTTGTCCTTTGCTGTGTTGACTTGTATAGAATGTTTATCTGTTTGTGTAGGCTCAATGATCCTTGCATTCCTAGGGTGGTGAGTCATCTTTCTAACATGCTATTAAATTTGGTTTGATGTATTATATGTTAGAGAGTTTTGCATCTGTGTTTATTAGTGATCTGGTCTATAGCTTTTGTTTACTGTTATGTCTTGTTTTGGTATCAGTGTAGTTCTGTCCTTATAGAATGAGTTTTGAGAATAATTCCTTCTCTTCAGGTTCTTTGGAATAATTTAAGAGTTGGACCACTCTCCTCTTCCAAAGATCTTATTGGAATATGACGTATTTTCCTGACATAGAAATGCCTCCTTATAATATAGAACACAGTCATCATTTTAATTAGAAAATGGGTGACCTGAACTCATTCGTCAAGGAGCTGTGAGTGTACTACTGTGACATGTGGAAACCTTCTTTTCTTCAAAGTTCAGGTGTTCCCTTGGAGCCCAGCTTTTGAAGGCATGATAACGTGTTCTCCACTGTCCCTATTCCCACCCCTTGCGGGAAGAATGTGAACATTTTTTTTTTCTTTCTACATCAGACAGCTTGCCAAATGGGATTCCAACATATTTTTCAGTTCTTCTAAAATGCCTGGACTATTCTATTACATAAGCATTCCAGTCTCCCAACCATGATGGTGCCCAAGGCCCTGTGTGCCTGGGCCTATTCTTACACCATACTGGGCAGAGTTGGCTGAGAAGCAAGGCAACTCTCCAGGCAGCCAGCAGTGGACAGTGCCAAATCACAAGATTGTATTTTCTCAAGATGCCAAAAGATGTAGAAGAGAGCAAAGAGGGAAAAAAGAAGAAAAACATCAACAAAATCATCTGTCATTTTTTTCCTTCCCTCCCTAATAGGCATTAAAACCTTATTTGCAAAACAGAAACCAAGTTGTTTTCCCCAAGAATG